AAGGTTATTTTTAGTGGTAAACGCGCAAACTTGTGTCTTCTGGGCATTGAACTTAATTAGATTTAGTCGCCCCAATACGAGATCATATCCGGCAAAGGCTCGACTTTAGACACAAGTTTGTTCCGGTACTCGGCGACGTTTTCCTGAGAACTATAGGCATAGCCGGTCTATAAACCATCAGTGCACGTTACTGGTTTGCAACATATTATTGATAAGCAGAAGAAACAGCTTAGGTAATAGCACATATCCTTGTGGAACGCCAGCATAAGTAGGCTTGTAAATGAAGCATGCACATTCTACTACGACTTTGCTGCTTCAATCTGCAAGAAAACTGCCGATCCATTTGCACAAATTCTCGGGAAGCCTATAGGAAGGGAGCTTCGAAAGAAGCTCTTTGTGCCAAAACCGATCAAAGGCCTTCGCTACGTCCAAATAACGGCCAGGGTCTCCCTCTCTGCCTCCGCTGATTTATGAGTCAGGTAAGCCAGAAGATCGCCAGCTGAGCAACCCCAACGGAAATCGTACTGGCAGTCACTTTTCAGTTGGTGATCCTCAACCTCATGAGCTGGCAGTTCACAATGGTTTTCATTATTTTGGAGAACAAGTTGGATAAGTCTGAGCGGTCGATTTTCGGTTATTCTTAGGGCTCTAGTGCACTTAAACTGTCTTCTTTGAGTTCGGGATACCTTTCGTTCTACACATAGGGAGAGAGTTTTAGAAAAGAGACGTTACGATCGGTGCCAACTAGGGAGCACACGTCTTCAGCACAATGGGAGGAACTCCCTCAGGCCCACTTGACTTGACGTCTAGGGAGAGTAGTGCTTTGCGCACCGAGTGCTGTGTAAACCGTATCGTACCGACCTGAAGGCGAAATTATACTTCTTTTTAACAGCGCTGGTGAAGCACTCCTATTACAGCGCGATGTAATTTTACAGAAGCAACCAAACCAGGCACCACAGATGATAAAATAAAGAGTTCCATACCCTGAAGCACCACATCAGCAACAGAATCACGTTGGGATCATCCGGCGAGAAGCATGCCAGCCTATAAGCATACTCAAGGGAAGGATGCAAAAAAAGACCGCATCCTGTCCCAATCGGCCGACCTATAGTGTCAAACACGGTGGCGATCTGCAGAACGCAACCGCGATTGGAGTGTAAGTGGCACCATAGTCCGGATCAGACAATGTTCTAATGAGCCAAGAGGGGCGTCGAATCGAGAGAGCAGCAGAAGGTTCAACAGGGAAGGTGCACGATCCTCCCCATCTAGAATCCGCGTAGCCGAATTAACCATTTGTGTCAGACAATATGCCAAGGCAAAGTCATAAACAGATCTTCCCGCATGATCGGTTAAACGAGAACCAAGCCATTCAGCGTGATGGCCGTTAAAATCACCAAAGATCACGATTTCTGCAGATGGGACCTGTTGTAGCACGAAGTCTGCAGCGATTTGGGCGTGGCGGATGAGTTGGTCTGTGTCGGCATTACCTATATCCGTATCCGTAGACGCGAGGATGGTCGTCGCTGACTTTTAAGAATGCCGAGACGTCGAGAGCAGACATCCTCTTCGGCATATACCCATACCATCGCCCTTTGTTGCATAGCTACGCTACTGCGCAGACATGTGAAGTTCGCCAACACACATTGGTGCAGCGCGGCGGATACTTCATTGTCCTAAAACCCTCTCAGAAATGACGAGGCCTGTGCTCAACATTGGGACGTACATAGGCTGTAACTTCAAGGGTACCTGCAATGCGAATATATTTTACATGCACCAGCAGTGAACCTAATCGCACAAAAAATTATGAAATGAAATTTAATTATACATACGTCATTTTGTTTTTTTTTTTATATATAAAAAGTGACATACGAACTTATAGTTCACCTGATAGTAAGTGGCTACAACAGTCCGTGGACGCACGCAACCAACTTGAACCTCCATAACAGACCACAGCAGTGCAGGTACTGCTATTTGGCCGCTCTGCACCAACAGTGCGAGAGTGCACTAGCAGTTTTATGGCTAGATCTTCAAATTCTGAAGCTGGAGATATGCCTCTCCTGTGGCAGGGAGATTTTGTCATAATATTCTCGCTTGTTAAGCGGGTTGGCGATCGAAGTATCATAGTACTTCTAATGCTGCTCACATCACCAGTCTGGGTATTTTGAGTCGGAGATGATTTGGTACGCCGCCATGGATTGGTAGCCATAAGATGTTTGTGGCAGTAAACGTGGTCGTTACATCCATGCGACGAATTAGGATGATGTATACTTGTTGGCGACGCGCCTAAAAAATATTTCATTTACTTAGTTCCGGCGAAAAAGTAATTCTCAAATGTGGACGATTAAAAGATTGCTATTTTATTTTGGTAGGCACTTCATAAGAAATAATCTATATTAGAAGTGAATAAATTCGATACAACGTCGAACGGAAGTTCGGGGTTCAATTCCCCGATAGAACATTATTTTCTTGAAAGTTTGTTTTTCAAGGTAGTTTAGAGTCATGTATTACATAGTAATCGGCTGTGTAATGCGAATGAAAGTGTTTGTATTAAATAGATACTTGTTTAGTATAGAACGTTTAGCACTTGAGATTAATTTCGTTTTTTGTAATATCAAATAAGAAATAGACTGTGAGCTGGCGACAAATTTTGGGAAGGTCCTTTGGGCAAGTTGAAATTGTGAAAAAATATAATTTCGTCAATTGGCGAATCCAGTCCCGCGAGTCTGGCGGAGCGTTTGCGGTTATTTTGTTACTGCGAATATATAACATTTGCAAAAAAAAAATTCCAAAAAAAATGTTCTTTTGGCAACTTGATTTCTTTTTTATCTTTTAATTTAGTTTTTATATAATTCAAAAAAAAAATCCCAGACGTTTTTTTTGTCGGTTATAAAGTATTACCAGACCTCTCCAAAAATATTTTTTTTTAGTTCCGAAAGAATATACTTTTGGCAATCTCAAATTTTAATCACGTGTTTATTGAGTAATTTTTAATAACACCTGCAAATCGCCAGACTAATTTAGCGGTTTTAAACAATTCCCAGACATGAATAAAGTTTAACAACTAACACGACAAAAAAGTCTTATGCGTAGCCTTAAGTGCGAGAAAGATAGCTTATCGAAGCATGCCGGCAGCGAATGGAGGCCTAAGCTCCTCGCGCTGTGATTGGTTACTTAGAAATATTTTTTTGAAGATTTTAAGATTAAATTCTTGTTTTAGCATTTAGCGTGTATGTATGTAGCGTGTATGTATTATGTATATAATTAATATTTAGTTTTAGTCCAGTTTTAAGGGGCAGGACACATCATTTTCTTTCTTTACGCCGAATTAATCAAATTAGTTTATAACAGCCTCATTATAATGGAATTCCACAAAGTAACGCCTGATTCTATTAATTGTAGTTCTAAGGCAAGGTCTCATCATAACTAACAAAACGAGCCCAAACTCGGATGTGTTTCGCTAAAAGCACGCACGATTTATATATTAATATACTTACACGTCTTGGACTTAATAGATCTGAAGGTGTGTCGGTATCTGCTACTGGAACTCCGAGTTTGGGCTCGTTTTGTTAGTTATAGAATATAATAGATATATAGAATAGACCCTACCTCTGGACTTGACGGACTGACATCAAGGTGTACTGGAACTCATTGACGAATAGAACTACAATTAATAGAATCAGGCGTTAGAAATTGGTTGCTACAAAAATAAGATACAAAACTAGATTTAGTTTATTTGTAAAATTTCGGCAATGTATGTAAAAACGGGTCATAAGTGCTTCAGGTTGATCACACGTATATAAAAGAACAGTTCTGTGTCAAGTGTTTAAATTTGTGCTAAATTAAATTAAACACTTGTGCGAAATATAAAATTTGTTTTAAAGATAAAAATATGTGTAAAATCGTGAATAAAATTATTGTATTATTTAAGTTGTTTACGTTTTCTAATAAAGAATGTTGTTTCAAACTTATGTGTTAGATATTTAAGAATTCTAACTTAGAACATGTGTTGTAAAATAAGCATATTTTGTTGAATAAATAAAAAAGTTTTTATATGATCATAATGTGATGTGTGTTATAATATTAAGACTTTTTTGTGCTGTCATTATAAATAAATTTATTTATGATGTTGTATGACTGTGTGTTTTTTACAAATAAAGATTTTGAGAAAACTATAAGAGTGCAATAGTAAAAATCGATGTTATAGTATTGAACCGGGGTGGTACCACGACCTCACAGAAAACCAGCGTGAAGTAGAGGTTTACCCCTGCGTTTCGCTTGGTGAGTGCAGGTGGCCGGAGGCCTTTTTTACTGGAAATGAGGCATTCCATCTTAGTCCTCACGGGTGACAACGCATCTACATTTTGGTTTGTAACAGAGGATAGTTGTAGATGTCTATGGGCCGCAGCAACCACTTACCATCAGGTGGACTGTGTGCTCGTTTGTCACCCTTATCCTATAAAAAAAAATTGTGAAACCGCGCGCGGTGCGCGGTTCTCTTTCGAGTATAGCTTTGAGGTAGCTCATTAAACGGGTATCTATGCAATTCTTTCGGGATCAGCTACCAGTATATTTAAATGAAGAAAGAAAAGCGCATAGGGAAGTGATAGGAAATAGGGAAAGTAATCAATTGCACTCTTATGGGGAAATTTTGAAGATAATTGCTGTTTTATTCCTAAAGGATCTTCCACCACCTAAAGTATACAGTCCACGCCTTAAATGTCAAGACCGGGACCACTTCAAGAGGACCCGTAATCTTAGTCGTCTGACCTTTCTTTTCAGAAAGGGACTTCAGACGCTCTCTTGTGATACTCATTCACGGGGTTCACACCCACCTCGTTGACCGCCCGAACCCAACGTGGTGTGATTGGAGTTTCGGAACAAGGAACCAGCTGATGGAGGACCTCTCAGTTGGCCCTTCTCTGCCGGAATTAATAACGAGGGCGGTCTGGCTACCTTTTAATACTCGTCCAACGTCACAAATTAAAAATTCAGTTCATTTTAATCATGTATTTATCAACATCATGCACTTTTGTAAGTAATTACAACATAATTATTAATTGAAATAAATACAAACATAATCACACATTCGAAATCGAAATAGAGAACTTGCATTAAATTTTTTTGCCACAAACTCTTATATATATATGAAAGAATAATTCATTTCAAGTATATTTAAATATTTTTTTAATAACAATTCCATTTTGTAGTAATAATTAATAAAAAATAGTTAATTCTTTGAATGAAAAAACTACTTGTGATTGGTTGTGACGTCATTATATCCGCTGAGGCTGTGAGCCAATCGCAATCATGCTATACTTTTGAATTTACTTTTATTTTTTTTTTACGTCAAATAAATATTTCAAAACATATTACCTGTATTATGCAATACTATTTTTTTAAATACAACGTAAACATGAATGTTTAACCATTTCACCATTCAAAGAAAAATCAATTTTTTTTAATGATTTCTAATAATTTTTAGTAAACTTTCAAAAAAAAAATTTAAAAAACATGCAACTTCTCTTTTCAAATCAGGGCCAGTTTTTATTTTATTACAATGTCCATTCCTATCTATGTTTACAAAATACATATCAGTAACATAAATTATTTCGTTTAAGAACAATATTATAATTCCATTTCCTACACCATTTTTTCCGCAATATTGAAACAAGTTTAGTAGTAATCCATACTTAAAATTATAAATATCTTTATATCATAAATTAAAAAGTTTTAATTACACTATATATCTACCTAACCTATACAGTAAGTTCTGACAAAAAAAATTCATTCCCTTTTTTCTCATCCCAGGGGTGGAATTTTTTCTTCAAATTCGTTATACGTCGTGTTATGCGTGGTAGAGCCATACTGCAGCTATATTAATAGATAGTTGTAGCATGAATGGGTCGGCTCGACCGGGGAAGGACCACGCTCTCACAAAATACCAGCGTAAAATAGCAGCTTACTATGTTTCGTATGGTGAGTGTAGAGAACCGGAGACCCTTTTTACTGGAAAAGAGGCATTCTATCTTAGTCCACACGGCTGACAACGCATCTGCATTTTAATTCGCAAACGAAGATAGATGTAGATGTCAATGGGCCACAGCAATCACTTACCATCAGGTGGACTGTGTGCTCGTTTTTCACCCTTATTCTATATAAAAAAAAATTCAAATTCAAATTCAAATGGAACTATCCGTGAGGCATAGCGTATTTAGTTTTTACAATTATGTTCAGCAATTTCCGAGAAAACGGTCAACATAAAAATATACGCGTCGATTCTTTTAGAACCTCTTCATTTTAAGTCGGTTTGAAAAGAAAGTGCCATCCCTAAACTAACAGCATTTAAATATAGTACCTGGGCGACCAGACATTGCTCGGCGTTAACTATCTAGATAAACTTACAAAACTAAAACATTGTATGAATATAAAATTTCATCCAAATCGTTTCCGAGAAACCAATCACGTAAAATATAATAATAATGTCCTCAACACTCAATTTCGGCCACGGTCGCATAAAAAAAAATCGAATTGAGAACCTGCTCGTTTTATTGAAGTTGGTTAAAAATAGTTTTATTCAATGTGTAAGTGTTTACGTAAATATAATAAATCATTACAAATGATGATCATTAGTATGCCCGAAAAATATGAGTTTGAGCACTGCTACGTATCAAGGGGGACCATTTTTGAACGAAATTTTATTTAAAAATTTTGGCGGGAACTCGGCAAACAGATTAGTCATTCCTGTATTCTTATTTGATAATGATTTTAGCTATATTTTGATACTGTACATATTATATGAAAAAAAAATACATACATAAAAAACAATTGATTTTTTGAATTGTTCCATCAACTTTATTCATTCATAGTCTCTCTTTAGCTTGGCTAATTTGTCTGCAAGAGTACTAGGTCTTAAGTCTAACGAATGTACCGCCTTCATATGCTGCTTGACGTCTCTGAATTTTCTGAACTCCATGTTGCATAAAGGGCAGTCCGCTGCGATCTTCCTCTCTTGGTGTTCCAGCCACATGTGGTCCCATTTGTCTTTCAAACTCCCGAACCTCTTCTTGCATATAATACAAAGAAACGTCGAGCATCCGCGCATGTGTTTTAATCTATAGTGCCTTTTCAACTTTGATTCGGTACAAAATGACATGTCACACTGCGGACAAGTGGCGGGCGGGCGAGATTCGTGCAACTGAAATCAAAGACAAACATTTAAAAGTGTTGTGAAACAATGTTTAGTTATGTACTAGACATGGAACGAGTAGTTATTCGCCGAGTACTCGACCACCGGGTACTCGGCCTAGATTGGGCCGAGTGCTCTGCCGAATATTCGGCTTTAAAAAAACCGCGGTAGCGGGCAGCGTGCGGTTATTTCCCTTACAAACTAGACCCAAATAGGACCGAAAACTAGTGTTTTTGCATCACAATCTTCCTCTCTTAAATTTTAAATATTAGTAATAATAATTTCTATTATAGATTCTTATGTACATTCTAAATATTTCTGCTGCTTCCCATGTTCCTGATATTTTAATGTGTCTAATATAATAATAATGATAAAAACTGGCTTATTGTCTTTATTTTTTCTCTGAAATATAATTAAGGCTGAGTACTCGGTACTCGGCCGTTAATACTCGGTGCACGGCCGAACCTAAAAAAAGGCCGAATCCGCCGAGTACCGAATCCAAACCGAGTACTCGTCCCATGTCTATTTTGTACACTGTATTTTAGTTTTACTGTCTAGACATATGGTAGTGTGTCAGTCAAGTTTTTATTTTTTTATATTTATTATAAGCCAGTGCTTGACAACAAACTCACCTGGTTGGTAAGTGGTAATGTAGCTCTAGATGTTAAATCGCACTGTCTTAACGTACCAAACACCTATTCACTCTTGCCTTGAAACATAGACTCCGGCAAATTATTCCACTCCTTTGCTGTACGCATAATAAAATACAAAGCAAACCGTTTGGTTCTAATGCGTGGAATATTGACAACAAAGGGAAGAAGACCCGCCGACCGCCTGGTTGCCCGATGGTGGAAAGGCGAGGGAGGATTTTTTTTTAGGATAAGGGCGACAAACGATCACACAGTCCACCTCATGGTAAGTGGTTACTATAGACATCATCTATTACGAATTAAAATGCAGATACGTTGTCACCGATGAGGACTAAGACGGAATGTCACGTTTCGTAATACGAAACACAGCAGCATTAAACTGCTATTTAACGCTGGTATTCTGTGAAAGCGTGGTCCTCCCCGGTCGAGCCGACCCGTTCGTGCTATAACTATACTCCTAATATAGCTGCAACACGGCTCTACCACGTAAAAAGTTCAAGGAAACCGGCAGAACAGCGCTGTGATTACTACACTGCAGCATAGAGATGAATGGAATGCCTATTTGTTGCTGCATTAAGACAAAGTTGGACAAAAATATCGGAACTAGGCACGATTTTGATGTTCGAGAATCAATATTTCCTTAAATAGTATATGCTCGGAAAAAAAATATGCGCATACATGAAATACTCAACAAAATTCTTAATCGAATGGATTTTTTATATACTATGTAAATCGAGATTAAAAAAAACCATGAAGTTCGAGTTCTCGTTTTTTTGAGTGACAACCCTATTATATTTTTCAATGATATGAAAGACATTGTGGCGGCGCTGTCATCGCTAAACAAGTGACACCGAATTTTAATCACGCAAAGTTCCGAGTTCATCGGTAATGCATGATAAAGTATTAGATTCTTATTTGGCGATGTTTCAAATAAAGTTGGTTAAAATTAAAATAAATTCGTTTTAAGAGGAATAAAACCCCCTAATAGTAGAGCAATGGTCAACGCAAGACAACGAAGTGAATCAAATTAGATTCAAGCAAAGATACAATCGTATCTTATAAACATAATCGAGAAATCGAAACGCAGTGGCGTAGCTACCGTAGGACTAGGCGGGCCAGTGGCCCGGGGCCCCCAAGCTCAAAAGGCTCTTTATTTTTTACTAGCACCTAAAATTATCCCACTGAATCCTTTAATCGGGATAAAGGTGTCTGTCTTACCCGTATGCAAAATTTCATCCAAATCCATCCTTTCGTAAAAGTGTAACAAACAAACAAACTTTAATATTTATAACATTATTAGGAACAACGAATAAATATTATCTCCTGCGTTACACATAATACTAAGTAGTAAGTAGCTTTGCTTTACGTCTTGCAGTGGGCGATAAGGAACTGAAGATAAAGTAGTTTTTTAAAGTATTTATTTAGTCTAAATAGGGCCCAAATCTAATTTTTGCCCCGGGTCCCTTAGTTACATAGCTACTCCACTGTCGCGAGACATTGACGTTTAACATATTGTTAAGCACATCGATTTAGTAATAGCTGATATAAGCAAGACAATATGGTTTTTAAATCACTAGATATTGACCTCACATCATTATGACATAATTTCGAGCTGAATTAAAGGTTTTTTTCATTCTTCTTTTTAAAAAAAAAACGTTACCCCCACACTAGGATTTTCTCCTGTGTCGTGGAGGCAGTTTACAAACATAAATTGCACAAGGACAAACATCCAGACCCGGAACAATTATTTGTAGGCCATACAAATACTTGTTCCCGCTCCCGGATTCGAACCCGCGGCCCCCACGCTGGGGGCCGCGGGTTCGCCACTGCGCCACGGAGCCGTCAACAACAAAGGTCAATTAATTTCATGTATTTTTGATAAAATAAGATACTTTCTTTAAGACCTTTAAATATCAAAGTATGGTTAAAAAATGAACAATCTCGAAACGGCTTTTAAATCGGCATGACTTATTACACATCAAATAAGAACACACATCTTCTATACAAATAAATAAAATTGAAGTGTCTGTTTGTAATATCAAAATCACAGCTTTTTACTAAATGCATATGAAAGTGTATACGGTACTAATAACAAAAACACAATTTATAAGGTTTTGTCTGTCTGTCTGTACGTCTGTCTGTCTGTTTGTTCCGGCTAATCCCCGAAACGGCTGGACCGATTTTGACGGGATTTTCACTGGCAGATAGCTGATGGCACAAAAAGTAACTTAGGCTACTTTAATTTTAGAAAAAGAATTATGGTTTCGCGCAAAAAAATTTAAACCCCAAGTAACACGCGGGCGAAGACGCGGGGAACAGCTAGTACAAAATAAAAACATATATGTCGAATTGGGAACCTCTTCCTTCTTTTTGAGACGCAGGTTTCCTCTCTGGCTGATACTTCGTATCTCTCCTACCCGGGGTACAAATTGGAGCATTCCTTTGTGCCTCGGGCTGGAGTTTGCGTGTATGTCAGAGAGGACATCTGTTCTCGACGCCTCGGCAGTCTTGAAGGTTCGGACCTGTCCATCCTTTGGCTACGCGTAGACAGCGACGACCATCCGCGCGTCTACGGGTGCCTCTATAGGTCCCATAGCGGTAATGCCGAAACAGACCGACTCATCGACCACGTCCAAATGGCTACAGATTTCTTGCTACAACAGGTCCCATCCGCAGAGATCGTGATCCTTGGCGATTTTAACGCCCACCATGCCGAATGGCTCGGTTCACGTCTAACCGATCATGCGGGGAGATCTGTTTATGACTTTGCCTTGGCATATGGTCTGACACAACTGGTTACTTCGCCTACGCGGATTCCAGATGTGGAGGATCATACACCTTCCCTGTTGGACCTTCTGCTGACCTCTCATCCGGACGGATATCTGGTTTCCGTCGATGCCCCTCTCGGCTCTTCGGACCATTGTCTGATCCGGAGTGTGGTGCCACTCACGCTCCCTTCGCGGTTGCGTTCTGCAGGTTGCCGCCGTGTTTGGCATTACAGGTCGGCGGATTGGGACGGAATGCGGTCCTTCTTTGCATCCTACCCATGGGTGCGGGTTTGCTTCTCGCCGGATGATCCCAGCGCTGTTGCTGACTCTGTCACTGATGTGGTGCTACAGGGAATGGAACTATTTATTCCATCATCTGTGGTACCCATCGGAGGCAGATCTCAGCCTTGGTTTGATCGCTCCTGTAAGACTGCATTACGCAGTAAGCAGGAGTGTTATCAAGCCTGGGCTGCGGCTTCGGCGACTCGGGATGTAAATACCAGCACACTTAAAAAGAAGTATAACTTCGCCTCCAGGTCCTTCAAAAGAGTTATTGCCAAGGCAAAGTCAGAGCACATAGGCAGAATTGGCGAGAAACTAGTTCGCCTTCCTTCGGGAACCCGTGCATTCTGGTCTCTCGCCAAGGCTGTCCAAGGGAATTTCTGTAAGCCATCACTACCATCTCTGCACAGGGAGGATAACTCACTGGCCCATGACGCAAAAGACAAAGCCGACCTTTTAGGCTCCCTTTTTGCGTCCAACTCGACTCTTGATGACGGGGGGAAAACACCGCCGACCATCCCGCGGTGTGAGTGCTCCATGCCGGATGTGCTGTTCTCACAGCGCTCGGTTCGCAAAGCACTCCTCTCCCTGGACATCCAGAAGTCGAGTGGGCCTGACGGAATCCCCCCAATTGTGCTGAGGACGTGTGCTCCGGAGTTGGCACCGGTCCTAACGCGTCTTTTCCGGTACTCCTACTCCCAAGGCGTAGTCCCGAATTCATGGAAGACAGATTTTGTCCACCCGATCCCTAAAAAAGGCGACCGCTCAGACCCATCCAACTATAGGCCTATCGCGATCACCTCCTTGTTCTCCAAAATAATGCAATCCATTATTAACTGCCAGCTCATCCGGTACCTTGAGGATCACCAGCTGATTAGTGACCGCCAATACGGTTTTCGTCGGGGTCGATCAGCTGGTGATCTTCTGGTCTACCTGACCCATAGATGGGCGGAGGCAGTAGAGTCCAAGGGGGAGGCGTTGGCCGTTAGTCTGGACATTGCGAAGGCCTTCGATCGGGTTTGGCACAAAGCGCTTCTTTCGAAGCTCCCTTCCTATGGGCTTCCCGAGAAATTGTGCAATTGGATCACCAGCTTCCTTGTAGATCGGAGCATCAAGGTCGTTGTAGACGGTGCATGCTCTGACTACAAGCCTATTAACGCTGGTGTTCCACAAGGCTGTGTGCTATCACCAACGCTGTTTCTTCTGCATATCAATGATATGTTGCTAACTGGTAACATTCATTGCTATGCGGATGACAGCACTGGTGATGCTCTATACACCGGCCGTGCCAATATTTCTCGGGAAAACGTCGCTGAGTACCGGAACAAACTTGTGTCTGAAGTCGAGTCTTTGCTGAACAAAGTCTCGGATTGGGGGCGACTAAATCTAGTCCAATTTAATCCTCAGAAGACACAAGTTTGCGCGTTTACCGCTAAAAAGAACCCCTTTGTCGTATCTCCTCAGTTTCAAGGCACTCCCCTTCTTGCCTCAGCCAGTATCGGTATCCTCGGAGTCGACATATCGAGTGACGTGCAGTTTCGTGGTCACTTGGAAGGGAAGGCCAAATTGGCCTCTAAAAAGCTTGGCGTGCTCAGCAGAGCAGGACAGTATTTCATGCCGGCACACCGCCTGCTACTTTACAAGGCGCAAGTTCGGCCTCACATGGAATACTGTTCCCATCTCTGGGCAGGGGCTCCCCAGTGCCAGCTCCTTCCACTTGACCGCATCCAACGCAGAGCGGCTCGAATTGTCGACGACCGAGCCCTTTCCGATCGGCTCGATTCATTGGCACTGCGAAGAGATGTTGCATCCCTTTGCATTTTCTTTCGCATCTACCATGGGGAGTGCTCTGAGGAATTGTTCGGATTAATCCCAGCCGCCAAATTTCACGAACGCACATCGCGGCAGAACTCCCGATACCATCCACACCATCTGGATGATTGGCGGTCCACCACTGTGCGATTTAGAAGAAGTTTTCTTCCTCGCACGACCTCCTTGTGGAATCGATTACCATCAGCGATTTTTCCGGACCGATACGACTTAGGGACCTTCAAGAAAAGAGCGTACTCGTTTTTAAAAGGCCGGCAACGCATCTGCGATTCCCCTGGTGTTGCAGTTGTTCATGGGCGGCGGTAGTCACTTACCATCAGGTGAGCCGCATGCTCGTTTGCCCCCTCCTATATAAAAAAAAAAAAAAGAAATCAGCTAAAAAATATTAAATATTCAAAGTCAACATAATGAATAATAAGCAATGTCTTTTACTGGAAACAAGGCATTCCATCTTAGTCCTCAGGTGTAACAACGTATCTGCATTTTGATTCTTAATTGAGGATACATGAAGATGTCTATGGGCCACAGAAAGAAATGAAATATAAAATTATTTTATGGCAAATTATTTATTTAATATGATAATTTTCAACCACACGTGTGGAGTAAAATATAAGATAAAGGTTTAATTTTAAAGCAAATAAATATTACAATCCTAATTTTGAGACATGGATCCTAAATTTCAGTGTAATAAATTAAAAGAATATTTTCTTTCGAGAAAATGGCGCCATCTACTTCATTCTATAAGTAAAGTAAAAAAAAATTATTGGACTCTCAAGGTGGTACATAACATAGACGCTAGATGGCCTAGACACGACTAACTTAATATTATATTCTATCTCATTCTCTAGCCGACTAAATCCTATATGTGTCTCTCTAATGTCGCTTTTTCGTTTCATCGAGCATCGAGTTTCAAATCACAACGATTCTCTTCTCATACTGCTTGTATTGTGTAAAGAATCATTAAAATTGGTTTACAATCGAACAATATACCGTGTAATATACATACATGTAAAAAATACGGTCAAATTGAAAACCTCCTCGTTTTTTAATGTTGACTAAAAATACATACTTGCAAATGTTTGATTAGGAACATCTTCGAGCGAAATTTCCCACCGCACTTGTCACAGATAAATGAATAGAGATTGTGTACTTTCATGTGTTTGGAACAGTTGCTGGAGTCACTGAAGGTTTTGGCGCAAATTTGGCATTTATATAAGGTCATTGAAGCATGCCCCCTCATGTGCTCCTTATATTGAGCTAGACTGTTCTGGTCAGCACTACAGAGCTGGCATCGCAACTGGTTATTAGTTTTTATTTTAGACCTTAATGCTTGATGGAGAAGGTGCATGATCAAATGCCGCTTGCATTCGTTTCTTCTAGAAAATGTTTTGTTACAGACAATGCATAACCTCACCATATTCCTTTTTTCCTTTATTAGGAGCATATCTGAAACAAAAAATATTTTATATTGGGATTTTTTCATACCGCATATATATTATATACACCCCACACCCGCCAGTAGGGCACAGGCCCACATACATTTGGAAGAGAGTTATTGTGTAATAAGGAAATTAAGTTCCAGAGAACTAAGAAAATAAAATAACAGCTATTGTTACAGCCTATTAAAACCCATTGCTGAACATAGGCCTCCCCCATAGATTACTTCATAGGGTGAATATTTGCCATAGCTGCCACGCTTGGCAAGCACCGATACGCAACAGCAGATTTTTTATTTTTAATGGTTATTAGGAAAACGCTGCTGCCAGTCTCTTGATTTGTTTCCCTCTATTTCCTCTTACGACACCCACGGGATGATATGGAGTAGTGGATATTCTTACACCGTCACTACACGGTAAAGGTAACAACTAAATGTAGTCTAAATAGTTACATGAAAATCTTCAATCCTATTTTCACAACCTTTAAGGTGGAATTTAATTCAAATTTATATGGGAGAAGTATTTAATAAAGAGGAAAGGTTCTTGAGTGGCAGCTTCGTACCGGTAGGCGAAAGTGTAGGGCGACCCCCCATGAGATGGAGTGACGCCCTGGTAAGACATGCAGGAAGTCGATGGATGCAGGTGGCTCAGGACCGTGCTTTGTGGCATTCCTTGGGGGAGGCCTATGTTCAGCAGTGGACTTGTGAAAGGCTGTAATGATGATAATGATGATGATGATTTAATTAAAAAAAAATAATCATTCCAATAGTTTCCCAATTGAAAAAGCTATCGCGTGACAAACAAACAAAAAACATACAGACAAATTTTAAACCTCTTCCTTTTTAAGACAGCTAAAATTAAACCAACCGTTAGTCTAAATACGTCCCGCTGCTGTACACCGAGCACTCTCATTTAGATTTTTTTTATAGGATAAGGGTGACAAACGAGCACACAGCCCACCTGATGGTAAGTGGTTGCTGCGGCCCATTGACATCTACATCTAACTTCGATTACGAATCAAAATGCAGATGCGTTGTCACCCATTCAGGACTAAGACCATTCGTGCTACAACCATAATATATCTGCAGCATGGCTCTACCACGTGAAGATAGTTTTAGCGTGGTAAATGGACCTGCAGTTATATTAAAATTGAAGTATAGTTACAGCCTAAATACCCACTAGACATGAGTCATTCATTCATTTCTAGTGACCTGATCATTCAAGTATTGATTTGTCTTACGTACCGGGTCATTCGGGTCAATCATTCAAATGGATCATTTCGAGTTACAGTACTGTGTGATCTGCGAGATCCGTTCGATAATTTCGGTCATCGGACACTACTATACTCTTTGGTTGTAGGTCCCGTCAATTGTTTGATTCGGAAAGTTCAAAAAATGTAATTGCAATAATCTTTAATTTGATGCTACCCGGGTCAAATTAAGAAATCATTCACGATTGACACACATGTCTAATACCCACAGACCCATCTTATTATTTCTGCAGGGCTAGCATGGGCAGGAGACAATTATGTCCCCGGGGAAAGGAGAAAATGTTTATCCCCTCAATTAGTTTTATCCACCCTTCGAGCATGGGCACACCGGTGGATATAATATCCACAGTAGATAATAGGGAGATAGACTTAGATAGATTTTTGTATGAATATAAACATAAACCCATGTCCAATGAACCAAAAAGCATAATTTTTTATCATTCATTTGGCTCCATGTTACGGATGGGGAATATATGTCTACCTGTTATGTCAAACGGGAATATACTTCTCCCCCCCCCCCCCCCATTACTGTGCTTTGGCATAACGACAAGATAATTTTATCTCGTGTCAGTGGACATAATCGGGGGATAAATTTTTGTCTGAAGCCCATGCCAGCCGTGCTGAGAGAATTAATGGGCAGTTAATCCACTGCCCAATTACTGTCCAATTTAGTGGTGCATACATTGTGCTTTTGCTACACAAAGACACGGTATAGTCGAGGTAGCTCAGGGCCTAACCGCTCGCTGTAAATATCACAGTACGCGAGCAACCCGAGTTCGATCCCTGCCGGCACCAATGAAATTTTTAATTTCAAAGGAGACAATTTCTTTTTGTATTGAGAATGGGCCCACCACCGTAACTAGGCGTAACTTAATGAAGCACATGTCGATTTATTCCTTATAACCAATAGATTACAATAGTAATATTAGTTTTACCGTATCTAACGGAATACTGGGAAATTAACAAATTGATTGTCTTGTAGTTATCACCGGTATTATAAGTTAAAATAGTGAACTGGTCAATAATTAATAGTATAAAACAAAGTTGTATGTACATTTCAGCATTTATAGGTACTTTAAGGTTGATGGAAATTTTTTTAGTAGTTCGTTCTTCTTTATACGCATTTTTTTCGTATTACATTAACCAATTGACGAATATCAAAAGAAACTTTTTTTTTTAGATTTTATGATTCCGGTTAGATTTTCATAAAATCGGTATCTTTTTTATGCATAGTAAAATTAAGTTAAGTTAAAAAGTGCTAATTTACCACCTGCTCGGTGGTGAAGGAAAACATCGTGAGAAAACCTGCATGTCTGAGATATAAGAAAAAAATTTTTTTGAAGACATGTGAAGTTCGCCAACACGCATTGTGGCAGCGCGGCAGACATTTCCTTGCTATAGACACCCTCTCAGAAATGAGAGGAGGCCTGTGCCCAGCATCGGGATGTATATAGGCTGTAACTTTAACATGGTAGATGGTTGTAGCACGAATGGGTCAGCTTGACTGGGAAGTGCCACACTCTCACAGAATACCAGAGTAAAATAGCCAGCTCAATGCTGCTGTTTGACTCTTGATTGAGGATAAATGTGTCTATGGGCCACAGCATTCATTTGCCATCAGGTGGGTTATGTCCTTGTTTGTCACTCTTATTCTATAAAAAAAGAGTACTTAAAATTGAAATTAACAATTTCATTGCTATCAATAGTGAATGAACCCACATACTTGAGCTACCATGACTCTAGCTTTAAATAATAATAGTACCTGACCAGTTACCTAGTTGTGTAATGTTGACTGAAGGCTATCATCATCATCATTATCATCATCATCCATTTTCACTTCCATTTCATCATTTTTCCAACATTTCCCACAATCGGCTCTTACTACTCACACAGGACAACATAGGTCCAAAACAAAGTCAAGTATATAAAAGGAGTATATGTATAAAAATAAGGGACAATACCTATGACTTTTTTTGTAACTTTAGAGTTCATTTCTGCCTCGTCAGCACTATCCTCATCATCATCTGCCGTTTCCTTGTCATTTTTCATTTTCAAATGCAAATCCCAGTGAATAAAGATTTGTTCCGATTTAATAATTTCCCTGCATTCAATACACTGAAGGATATCATTCTTTTGTGAGGGTGGTAGATCCATGTTTCGAACATCTTGTGTCTTCATGTAAAGGTTTCTCAAGTGAAACTTTATATGTGTGCACAACCTCGAGACCTCCTTAAACTGCTGTTTGCATATGGGACATGTTAAAAAACTGTAATTATGCTGAGTTAAATGTAGCGCGTAAAGTTTTAAAGTCGGAAAGGTTGTAGTACAAGTCGAACAATAAAAAGACATAGCCACACAACTTGAAGTTATGTGTTCAATATATTCATTGTAGCTACCTCGAAACTGACACTTTTTACATGCATAGAGGATTTCTCCTGATTCCTCCTTATCTGATACGAGCTCTTCTCCTGTGACAATATCACTTTTTAAGTTTTCTGAACGTTTGTTCTTTGCTGGCCGCTTATCTTTACTACACGATAACGCGGCATCACGTACTGGATTTATCAACCCGATTTTATTAACCTTATCATAATGTACCTCTTGTGGATATAACGCATTTTCATCACTTGGATAAAACATAACTACATCATCCGTTGGTTCTTCTTTCACTTCAGTTGTATGATTCAAATTAGATTCTACGTCTTGTGGACATGACGCATTTGAAACATCACTTGAATGTGACGTAATTATTTCGTCTTCTGATTCCAATTTCACTTCAGGACTGTAATGAAAATAAAATTCTGCATCTTGTGGACATGAATCGCCTGCTGGTTCTTCTTTTATTTCTATACTCTGCCTCAAACTGCTATCTTCGTCTTGATGTGGCGCATATGTGCCATTGCCTGAACACGACACCCTAATATTATCATGTTTTAGTTTGTCTTTCAAGTTATTTCTTAGTTCCGTATTACGATCCTCGTTCTGTAGATATATCGTATCATCTTCTTTTTCTCTTTTGACATTAATTGATTGACCTGAATGAGATTCTTTCATCACATCATAATTTTCTATTACAGAATTATCTTTTGCAATCAAAGTGTCAACTTTTGCGGTATGTTCTGGATGTGCTTCTATTGTACCATCTTTCCCACATAAAATATTTGTATCATCTTTTGGCTCTTCCTTCACTTTCGTATTACGATTTGTATTAGCTTTTTCTCTTTCTTTAGAGTCCTCATTCTTATTGTCGTCTTCTGAATCTGATATTATTGTAACTTCATCAGGGTTGGTTAGAAGAATAAGGTCATCATCATCATCATACAGATTATCCTCCAAAGGTTCTTCTGTTTCCTTTTCCAAGAACCTCTGATAGCAATTGGACGCTTTAAAAACTTTAGATATGGCTGCCTCCATTTCAACATCTTTTTGTATTTCAGCATCTAATTGTGCTTGCAGTGTATATATATCGCATCCTTCATTTTTTTTTGGAACAACTGGCAAAGGCCCACCATCATCTAAGATTATAACGTCATCATCGTCTTCTTTGGAATTACTTTCATCATCTTCCAATCCATTCATAAAAACTTCTAAATTTTTCTCTGCAAATAAAAGTAAGAAAGATTTTAATAAAACAGCTAAAAAATAGTATTCACATTAAAAAAGACAAAAGTAGTTGAAGACTACAACATTGGCTACTCAGCTGGTGCTGGTTTGAATGTGCAATCTCAAATTAATAAAAAAATGTACTCTTTAAGACCTTTCATTTGATGTCAAACACGATTTTTTTTTCTGGCACTTTATGTCTGCAATAAGCTGCCTTGTTACAATTTGTGTGACGTTATATAGTCTATAAACAGCTAAAGAAAACGACGCTTCGTGGTATTTTGACAAATAAGTTATTATTATGCCACATTAGTGAGTAGTTTAGCAAATCTAAGGGAACAGATTTACATACATCGCCTGATAAAATCATAACACCCCTATTAGCTTTGCCGTAGTCGGGTAAAAATTAATACATTTGTATTCATAATAAGTTTTTAAAGTTATTGTATATAGGTTAAAATGCATAACGTGTCCCGTAAGTTAGAATCACAGAAACTGAAATAAATTTAAACGTGGTAGAGCCACATGTATAATACTTAGAATCACAGTGCACAGTTGCTTATGCCGTCTCCTCTTTGTATTTGCTTCATGGTGGCAACGCATCTGCGTTTTGATTCTTAATTGAGGATAAATGTAGATGCTTGTTTCATATTATTAACTTTTCCATTTCACAAAAAATAAATACACCAAGATTTTTCGATAAAGTATGGCTCGGATCACTCCTGGCTGTGCTAGCTGTTTGTTTGTGAAGTTTTATCACAATCGGTTCAGCCATTCGAAGCTTAACCCAGACAGACAGACAGACAAAATGTTTACAAATTGTTATTCATATCATAATGGCATACAAATAACTAGTGTCCGACCGAAACAGGATTTTCAACCGAAACCGAAAGCGAACCTTAAAAATCTGGTAGGTTTTTATACATATACAGATAGGTAATGCATGTTAATGAAAAACAGTAATTGTAATAGTCATGTAGCAATATATTTATTTATTTTAAAGTAAAAATTCTACAATTTAACGTTAATAAATACTTTTTTTATGTCAATTTCAACCAACAAACCCATAAAAAGTTACTCGCTAATTGAGAACATATTTTATTATGTTCACAATATTGTTAGTATTGTTCAATGAGAGCATTAACTTAATATTAGTGACCGACCGAATGTTCGGTTTCGGTTTCGGCAAGTTTCGGCAAAAAAATCTAGTTTCGGTTTCGGCGAAAAATCCGCCGAACCCTCGGCGGCGCTGAAACTCAATGTTCGTGGATTATCGTGCGTCGTTCGGATGAGTTCGTGACTCGTGTATTATTCATAATTATACAGAAACAGAAACTTTTTTATTTAATATATATTGTAGATAATACTTATTGAAAGTCACTCTTTTGTTTAATTACAAAAAATCCTCTGTCCTTAGAAGAACCAGCAAGAAACCCAGCAGGACCTTTTTTTAAATAACAGCTTACAATCAGAGGCGTAGCGTGGACTAATATAAACGTGGGCGAAGTTGCATTTATTTCTAATTTGTTTTGTGTTATTAATTGTGTTACATAGGTACATGATTATAAGAGCGGCGTAGCTAGGCATGGGCGAAGTGGGCCTTCGCCCAAGTCACGAACTCATTTGAACAACGCACGATAATCCACGAACACTGAGTTTCGGCGCCGCCGAAGGTTTGGCAGATTTTTTGCCGAAACCGAAAATATTACCGAAACTAGATTTTTTTGCCGAAACTTGCCGAAACCGAATCTTCGGTCGGTTACTACAAATAACCCACTGAGCTCGATAAAAGGCAGTTATCTCAATACTACAGACAGACATTACGAATTTATTTATAAGTATCGATATATTCATTAAATTATTTACATTATCATTACCATTTTTATTACCATGTTGATCAATTAACGTAACCTAAGGCTTTCTCTGGTTGGCATCGGTAACCTTACCACTAATTTACTGGTACTTAAAGGCCTCGTATGAACTTAAAACTCACCAGGAATATTAACAACTGTTTCCGAGTGAACAATCTCTCCAGTAATGCATTTCGTAGGTAGTAACATCTGCAAACAAATACAATACATAATAAATATGTGAGTTAACAAAAGAATAATATAATAAAACATTTATATTTTATAATATTAAGAGTGCCAAACTAACTTCAAGCTCTCTAAATAGTAAGTGATTACTTTTTTTACATGAGGAAATGTCTATGCATACCCACCTCGCGGGGGTAAAGACGGGTTATGACGTACACGCTAAAACCTTATGGTGTTCCACGTTTGTTGCATATTACCAGAGCCGAGAGAACGCTTTCGCACACATCTGCAAACCCACCAGTGCCGGTTACCCCATAGCAGTCCCTACTCGGGAAAGGACAATTTCTATTTTATATCCAGGTACGGTGCACCAGAACACTAAGTGCACCTACCCCCAAGACCGATTCGCACAGCCCATGGGGCCATGTAAATCGAGCGCTCGGAAGCATCAACCTTCCTGACAACAACGGTAGATCTGGTCTGTGATTCACCGCCAACCAAGTTTCGGCCGCGGAGGGTAGGGAGAGCGGCGCCTCGCAATACCGACACTCTTCTTCCCCCGCGACTCCCACCTAAACCGTGGGTAACCAAGATAGGTCTACAAAGCCCCCCCGCCACCCCGCCCCGCACCAGTACTATGCGGGAATCCATTACGGAGAGCCCTGTGTCTGCCTCCAAACCAAGTGTACTTGCGCACTTGGAGAAACAATATCTCTTGGATTCACATCAAACTGAGATTAACAATTTTAATATTAACAGTTTAAATCGAGCTCAGATCATTTCGTCGTTGTCATCATTATCTTCATCATCATCATCAGCCATTCACATGGCATCCCGAGGAATGTTCATCAACTTCCTGCATGTCTAACTATGCTTAATGATGTAAGGCTGCCACACCAGAACCTTCCTTCCACATCTGTTCTCTGTTCTTCAATGAATATTGTATTGACTGCTCCGTGGCGCAGTGGTTTAGCATTATGAGTTGCAGCGATAGGGGCCGAGGGTTCGAATCCCACACGTATTTGTATGGCCTATAAATAATTGTTCCGGGTCTGGATGTTTGTTCTTGTGAAATTTTTGTATGAAAACTGCCCCCACGATACAGGAAAAAATCCCAGTGTTGAGGTTATGTTTGTACAAAAATAAATAAACAAATAAATCATAACAGGCCTGTTGCCATATTGTCGTTCTAGTGTGGATATCTTCATTATAAGTTCTATCACATGGAGAAACCTCAACCACCACCTTTCCATAGCGTGCTCAGCGATAATGGTCTTCCTCACACACTACCAATGTTTTCAATATAATATAATGCAGCACCTGGATTTGATTCTAAGCCATAGGAAACAATTACAATAACAGAAGTAGTTGTTTCCGGTCTCGTTGTTATGATTTGCCTTCTGTCTTACACTGTATACTAGCTCACTTCTGATCTCATTGCTATCTACCTCACATTAGACAGTTACCGTTGCAACCTATTAAAAGTCAACAGCTGAACATAAGCCTTTTTTTGTTAGACATTTTTGCCATAATTGCCACGCTATATAAGATATAGTATATATATATATATATATATATATATATATATATATATATATATATATTTATATTTTAAGTTTAATAGAAAGATGTTGCTACCCTATCTTTTGGTTTGTTTCCCCCTGTCGCCTCCAACAACACCCACGGAACTATATTGGGCAGTGGATATTCTTACATAAGTGGGTGTCTTTATGTTTACAAGTAAACTTTTTTTGTTCATCACAGCCTATCAAAAGTCCAGCTGAACATAGACCACCCACTTAGATTTCTTTATGGGATGAGATACGAGCAGACTTATGCCACTATAATAGCTTCAGAATTTTAATTTAAAGTCAGGTTAATATCCAAGTAGTAAGGATTGAATGAATAAAGAAACTCACCTTAGCACCCCATCTCTTTTTGTCGATCCATCTCCCATGACTTTTCATATGATTGTTATAAAAGGATCTTCTAATGTGTAATAAATTATTAGTACATTTACTACACCAGGGCACAAGCATATAATTCTTAGAATGATGTAACATATGCTCCAAAAGCACACACTGATGGATAGACTTATTACAAATTGTACATGTGACAATTTTCTTAGAGAATTGCATGTGCATGTACTGAAAGGCCTTTGTAATGAATTTTCTAAAGCAATGGTCACACTTTATATTTTTATATCTTCCTGGACAGTCATGAAATTTGTAAATATGATACTTCGTATTGCAAGCACCGCATAACTTTGCTTGCATTAAAATTGGATCATCTGAATGTACTGAATGTCGGTCAATCATATGGTTGTCAAGCTCTGTTTGAGTTAGACAGTATCGGAAACACACTGGACATGTTTTTAAATCACTTGTCATCTCTACTCGTAATTCGTCACATTTCATTTTCATGTATAACACGCACACACCCTCGTGTTCAACGAGTTTATTGCATGTAAAAAATACAACATTGCAACCTTCACACTTATATTTTGCCGTCCGACGTCTGAAGTTATGAAATTTGGCCGATCTACCACATTTCATACAGTTTAAAAAAATTTTTAGGTCCATAGGTTTAAGCACCCGGTCAGAAAATGCTCCCACATAAAACTCGTGATCTCTTGGTAAAGTTCTGATTTTAAATGTGTTTTCACCGTGGCTCTTTATATGTTCTCGAAATGGGTGCAGTCTCCACCAGCCCATTTTGCAAATATAACACATGTACAACAAAGGTGAATCTCTAAAACCAGGACATGTCTCATACCAATCTTTCCATCTTTCAAATGCATCATAGATAAGCTTTTCATGAAATGTTTTTGGAGTATCTCTAAATTCACCATAAAAATTCCTAATAGCTATATCTAGGTATTTGTCGGCTAAACTAGTATTCTCTTTCGCTTGCTCCTCAACTGCTTTCAGTATCGAAGTTCTTGTTAAAGTATACTGTGTTACAGGCGCTAGTCCACTATTTATTCCCTTTTCATTTCTTGCTAAAATCTTCCTTATTGTATATTTTCTACCAGTGTCCTCTGTAAAGTTAACAGTTTGCAATTAAACTATATTTCGAAATCCAAGATAATATTTACACTAGTTCTAACTATAGCTGCCGATTTCAGTGGAAATAAAAAAAAACACTTTTTTTAAGATTTCTTTAATATGTGGTAGAACCATGCTGCAGCTATATTAATAGTATAGTTGTAGCATGAATAGGTCGGCTCGACCGGGGTAGGACCACGCTCTCACAGAATACCAGCGTGAAATAGCAGCTTAATGCTGCTGTGTTTCGTATGGTGAGTGTAGAGAACCGGAGACCCTTTTTACTGGAAAAGAGGCATTCTATCTTATTCCTCACGGCTGACAACGCATCTGCATTTTAATTCGCAAACGAAGATAGATGTAGATGTTTATGGGCCACAGCAACCACTTACCATCAGGTGGACTGTGTACTTGTTTGTCACCCTTATTCTATAAAAAAAAAAAATCTCCAATTACATTTTGTGGTATAAAACATTTTACTGTAACCGTTATAGCCTATAAATTCACTGCTGAACATAGGCCTCCCCCATAGATTTCCTCATAGGGGGGACACCTGTCAAAGTTGCCACGCTTGGTAAAATGTGTAGGCAACTACAGTTTATTTTTTATTTTTAGTAATTATAAGGAACATGATGCTGGACATTGCTTTGAGATTAAGTGAGAGATACAAGTGTCGTAGTTTTTTCGCTTAAACTTATTGTTTTATTAAGTGCTGTTGAGACCATAAAGCAAAGAGGATACCGCATAAGCAACTGTGCACTGTGATTCTAAGTAGGTCCTGATGTCATCATAGTGGGCGTGGCTTTAGTTAGTATACTGTCAGCATTCGTCCTGTTTGATTATGTGTTGAAAATCGCAAATCGATGTATTTTCGTAGTATTAAGAAGAAAAGGATGCTGTTTTATCGTGTAAAAACTACTCAGATAGACGCTTTGATGCTATGAATGGCATCACATTTCATTTGTAAGTAATTTACAACCTAATTTATTAAAATAGTTCCAGAAAAATCTCTTTGCGTCGGCTTTCAAATATAATTAAATATATTCAACACTAGATGGCGTCACTTTGTTCATGTGAACTAAAAATATACGTAGAGCTCAGTATTGGTAAAATAATCATATGAAGATGCTGAAATTTGTTTTGCATTCACACATAAAGAAATTGTAATCGCCAAAATATTATTTTTATAGTTTATAATCATTTTGTGAAACGGCCACCATCTATCGTCAAGGTAACTAAACTACATTGCAACATCGATATGGAACGATTCAAGTAGTTTTACTATTTATTGGTAGATGAAGATAGTGTACGTGGGCGGAGCTTAACATCCCCTCACCCCCCAAATTGTCACGCTTGTTAGTGAAATATAATTACAACACCTCTTTGTATTTGCTTCATGGTTGAGACCAAGACAAAAAATTTAAGTTTCTGTAGATCAGTAAATGTTTTTAGTTGTGCCGTTTAAATGTAAGTTTTAGTTGTAGTAATGTAATGGGGGACGAACCTCCCGATGTCGAAAGGGTTCGCAATGACTCCTTTTCTTTACCCATTGATAATGTAGAACCTATTAACCGTAAACGAGCCCAAGTAAGTAATGGGTCTGCCCATCGACGAAAAATAGTTATTACTGATCCAAGCCAACAGTTTCCTTCAATACAATCGTCTCATACCCATCCTGATTTTATTAATAAGAAAGTAAAGTACTCTCAAGATGATACCGCGCCTTTTCTAGTTCACGTAAGTAAAATGTCAAATGATCAAGTATCCAGAGTAACTCTTAAACCAATCAAATTCGGTCACTTTCTGTATCATAATAACATTAAAATATAGTTTGTGACGGGGTCAAAAAAGTTGAACGAAACAGGATATCGCTTGAGTTTAAAACAGCAGCGGATACAAACATTTTTATTGATCACCACTTCTAAATATGAAGTAACTATCCCCTCATATAGTATCACTCGTATGGGGCTAGTCATAGAGTGAACATTAGAAGAGTTAGTAGCAGCTATTGAAATTCCCTCTAGATATGGTGCTATAATTAAAGCTCACCAACTCAATAGACGATCAGTGAGTGACAACAATAGCGTTTCATGGATTCCAACTCAGATAGTAGTTTTAACTTTTTCTGGACAAAAACTTCCACCACATATTTACTGTTTTTACACCTCTATGCCTGTAGAAAAATATATTTTGCCACTCATTCAATGTCATAAATGTAGCAGATTTGGCCACGTTATTTCCCAGTACCGATCATCCGCGCGCTGCTTTATATGTGAAGGTTTATCATGTACTAGGCAAAGTCCTACTTGTCTATTCTGCTCAGGACCCCACACAGCAAAAGACCCTACCTGTCCTGAACATCTAAGGCAAAAATCTATTGAACTAGTTATGTCACAAGAAAATATATTTAGAAGCTGCAGATAGATTCCCTCTGGTACGAAAATCCTTTGCCCGCCTCACAATTCTTCTCAACATACCCCTTATTCCTTAAATGACAGTTTTTCAACTCCTTCGGCTCAGCCTTCACAATGTACATCATATAAAAAAACAGTCTTTATTCCTCAACATACTTACAGCTCATCATTAAATTCTGGATATAATAAGCCAGTCCATCAGGCAATTGTTGAGAATCCTACTTCTTCCCTTCCAAATGGGTATGCTTTACTGGGGAATGACAACATTTCTAATAATGATAAATTCTGCGAACTTATGATATCAATGTTAATTAACTTGATTTCCGGTTTCAGTGACGCAGAACTTCCCCTCAGTTTACGTCAAAACTTACTCGGCTTACTTCAATAACTAGCAACATTCACAATTCTACAATGGAATTGTGCGAGTATCAAACATAAAAAGAATGAACTTATCTTTCTTATTAACAAATTTAGTCCACTTGTTCTTGCCATCCAGATGTGGCTTAGACCTGACTCCCAATTTACGATCTCAGGTTATTCATGTCTTCGGGATGATAGGAGTGATGGATATGCTGGTTCCTCTATTCTGATCTCAAAAAGAAATTACATATTCTTCTATACCTTTTCCTTCCCACAGCTGCTCAATTAATGCTGTTGCAGTCAAGGCTCTCAACATATCTTTTCTGTCTGTATACATTCCTAATCCTAATATTACCATCTTAAATTAACTTTTTAATCTTATTTCTTCTCTAACTCCCCCTGTTGTTATCATGGGAGATTTTAATATTCACCATACTTCACAAGGCTCACATCACTGCGATTCTCTATCATCTACATTTCTAGATATGATAGACGACTTAAATCTTTGTATCCTTAATGATGATTCTCCTACATACCATGTTTCACCTTCTCAGAACGTAAGAAGTGCAGTGGACTCTTTGTTCTCCTGGCTTAGTTTCCCTTCTATCATGGAAAACATTACCAAATTCACATGGTAGTGATCACTATCCAACTTTTATCACATCTGTTGTCCCTACAAAAGCAAATTCGGAATTCAACCCCAGGTTCAAATATAATTTATCAAAGGCACAGACTGGCGTCATTATTCTTCTGTCTTAGATCAAGCGATATCAACAATTCCTTCTTTGCATCATGAAAATGTACATTCTGTCTATAAGAATTCAAAAATGCATTATTATCTTTCGCCAGTAAGACTATTCCCTTAAAACAACCCTACAAAAACAATTTCGCCTCGCCTCCTTGGTGGGACCAGGATTGCACATCTGCTTGCAAAAAAAGGAAAGAGGCTGAACAAAAATACTCTTTATCAATGACCATGGAAAACTATATTTCCTATAAACAAATAGCAGCTGAAACAGTGAAATTGCTATATCAAGTTACAGACACATTGCACCGTCGTGTACAATAGCAAAGATACTAGAACATCTGATAAAAAATCGGTTAGAATGGTCCCTAGAGAGTAAGGATCTTTAACCAAAAAGCCAATGTGGCTTTCGAAAAGGCTTAAGCACATGCAATGCTTTTTCTATATATAAACATCTAGGTCTTTCTCGATGTCGTTTCAATGTACGTCATCCTGCACGCAGGCAAAACATGCTAAAGCTGAGTAATGAGTATACCAGTGAGATAGTAAACTATATATCAAACTTTTCCAAAACTCACTACCCCCCCCCCCCCCCCCACCGACATATTTGGAAAGGTTTTCCACAGTCCTCAATCCTATTCTCTATACTACCTACACTTTCGATTTAGATCTTGCAGTCAATTTATTTTGTAATGTCCTACAGAATGCAGATGATTTAGCCCTATACGAGTACATCTCTACAGACAACCTGAATACAGCTAATTCCCAGTTAAATTCTACCATGGAATATTTAGAATGCTGGTTAACTGATCATGGTCTATCTCTCTCTGTTTTCAAAAGCAGTATAGTGATTTTACTCACCATAAGAATTTCCCTAATATTCCAGTTTTATGTAAAGGCTTAATTACCTATTCCTATATGTGATAAGGTAAAATTTTTAGGTATGGTACTAGATAATAAATTATCCTTTACACACCACATTGAATACATTTCTAAAAAGTGTGAGAATAATATAAATATTCTTCGTTCCCTTTCAGGAGTGTGGTGGGGATCTCACCCCTTTTCACAAAAGCTATTATACAATGCTGTAATTCGTAGTCATTGAGATTGCGGATGCTTTCTTTTAGAGCCATGCAATAAATCATCACTTAAAAGTTTAGACAAGATACAGTATAAATGTCTACGCTTTATCATTGGTGCAATGAAATCTTCCCCAATTAATGCCCTTCAGGTAGAGTGTGTTGATCCTCCTCTCAACATAAGAAGACAATATCTTTCAGACAGATTCTTCTTTAAGATCTGTCAACTCTCTTCTCATCCCCTAATTCCCAGGCTACACCTCCTCTCCGAATTCTTATCTTCAAGTAGGTACTAGCTCCATAAAGATGGTCCACATGTTATAGGAGAGGGGGTAAACGAGCATGCGGCTCACCTGATGTTAAGTGACTACCGCCGCCCATGAACAACTGCAACA